TCCAAATGGCAAAAGCTTTGTTTTCTTTTAATAAGCATAGTGGAAAGCACTACTTTGTAAGTGAATCTTGTTCCTCTTGGTAAATGGGAAGAATGTTCTTAGGTTTGAGGAATTTGAGGGGCAGGGAAGGGTCTTCTTCTAAAGAAAGGGGCAGCCTCAGGAGGTAGGGAGCTCCCCGCCCCAGAAGCATGGCTCTGTTACAGTGGTAGAGCCCTCAAGAATCTAAACAAATGTGGAGTAGAAGCTCGACTACAGCTATGCTTTCCAGTGTTGAGTTCAAGTTCATGAATAACTAACCCGTGGAGATTATTAATGGCTATTTAGGATGTTTACTATGAAGGAAGACTACTGGGTATGCTCCCTGAAACCTAGGTCTGCATAGGGCACAGGGTGAGCCCAGAAGCCTGGCTTATGCTGTTTGTGTTGGTGTGGCCCTATAGCACATAGAAGAGCTTACCTAGAAAGAGCTCAGCTGTCAGCCTGCCTGGCCTCCTCCTGGTTGGCTGCCCCACTCATCACCTACTTATCCCTAGTTCATGTCTAGAGTAGAACCCACCAGATAGGGAAAGACATCCTTACTTACTCTCATGGGAACACAGTACTCAGAGTAAATCCATACCTGCCCACTCAGACACAGGCCAGAACTCTAGAATCACAAATATAAACAATCACAGGTCCAGACACACACTCATCCACACTTGCACACCCACATGCAGTTGGGCACTCTGACCCTGCCCTGGTCAGAGACACAAACTGGAACAGGGCACGCTGACTTCACCAGCTTCCCTGCACCATGGTCTATTGACTTTCTGTTTAATCTATAACTTTTCTTTGCCCAGTCAACTGGTAGACTGAGTACCCACCCCAGGCACTGGGCTTTAGGGGGTAAGGGTAGTGGCATTGGGTCTCTTGAAAATGCTAAACTTCCCATTACCAAAACTGGCTAAATACTTGCTACTTCCCTGTTCATACAGCAGTTCCAGTCACCTGGTGCTGTTCATCCTGGCAGTGACCTCTGGAAAATCCCAATGTATGTAGGTTCCCCTCTGAGCAGGAGCTGGCATCAGATTTGCCCCCTATAAGGTTTGACCTCCAAAAAGCTTGTTTGGGAATGGGACTTCCAAGGTAGGCTAGGTCTCCTCCTCCAGCCCCCTGCTTGGAGCTAGACCAATTGACGTCCAACCATTGTGGAAACTTTGGTCTCTGCTCCAACAGCAGAAGAAGGAAAGGAGCCCAGAGAGAGAAGAGGTTGCACAGCTTTGGCACCAGCAGCTGCAGAGTTGATGGTGAAAGTGGGAGGATTTCCTCTTTCCTGCTGCCTGATTTCACCCCCATGATTTCTCTTCAACTCCAGTCCCCAATCCCTGCAAAACACCCAGGCTGTGAGCTAAGTGGGCCCAGCCATCCAGACACAGAAGTTTTAGCCATGATCTGGGGGATCACCCCATCTGCCCTGTCAGAAAGGTCTGCTCCTTCTTTCCCTAGACTCTGGCTAGAGAAGCCAAGACCACTGGCACTGGGTACCAGGCCCTTTCTCTGAGGTCTGTCTCATGCAGTGTCCTCCACGCTGCCAGTCTCAGACTAAAAGTTCAGATAAAGCAAGTTGACCTGTCCTTCCCATGTTTACAGCAATAAAAGGCACCAGAGTCTGCCCTATCCTTCTCATCCTCTCTGAGTACCTCCAAATTTGTTCCCTTGTCCTGCTTTCCCTGAGAGTCCCAGCATCAGCCTCTTCTTCATCACCATCCCCATTACTGCTCCAATTTATTGAGTACCTACTCCATGGCAGGCATCCTGCCCCAGAGAGAAAGGGCCTGTTGCCCTCCCATTTTACAGAGGAGGAATGTGAAGTAGATTGGGAGAAGGGGGGTGGAGGAGACCTATCTGGGCAGCACTCTGTCTCTAAGTGGAAAGGCTCCTGATACCCAAGGCACCAATAATTCTGGCTTTGTCAATACTAAAGAAAAAATGGTAAAGAGCCATGCTCCTCCCTCCCCTCTCCCCCAAGGCACAGAATTTCTGGGAAGGCCCTGTTCCCATGACATGACTGTATTCCCAGTACTAAAGTAGGGGG